TTTCTGTGATAACTTAGCCTTTCTGTGTACCAGTTGATGCACTGATTTTTTTTGGCGGGGGAGGGAACCTATTTCCCCTCCTCAGAAATAACTAAGGATTTGTAATAATAAATAGTTGCAGGAACAGTCAACATTTATTAAAGTAGGGTGTTCATTCCTTATGTGTTAGTAAAATTCTCTTAAGTATCGAATTTTGTTAGGGGGAAGCAGACTGTGGACTGCTTGGTGCAGTTAAGAGCAGTAATTTGGGATGAATTTTTTTTCTTTTTGTGAGAACTACGTTTTGTTCCCCCAGGTTCATTCTGTTAATTAAAGAAAAGCTTTATTCTTTTTCTTTTCAGCTTGCTGAACTAAAGCAGGAATGTCTTGCTCGTGGTTTGGAGACAAAGGGATAAAACAAGATCTTATCAACAGACTCCAGGCATATCTTGAAGAGCATGGTGAGTGCTTTTTGGAGGCAAAGAGTGATATGAGTGAGGGGATTAATTTTCCAACTCTGCCATTAAAAGATTTCTTTTCATTAAGGTTGTTGATGTGATAAAAGCTCTTAATTAATTTATAAAAAACCTCATTGTCATCTAAAATAGTGGTCGTTAATGCAAAGAAATATTCCCTTTCCCCCCTTTTAAGACATGATTTATTCAATATTCAAGCAAATTATTTTAAAGAAATATGGTAAAACAAGTGTCACTAGACTGAGAATTGGAAGATTTGAATTCTAATTCCTCTTATTGTTAGGTAACTTGGACATTCACCGTTTATATGGCTGAATTCTGATCTGTGAAATTTGATGTGACTCCACCTTTGAAATCCAGAAACTTCTGGTCTCTTCTAGCTCTGACAAATTCTAATTCTGCCTTTTAAAAACAACTTCATTTAAGGTTTATTGGCATACTTTGTTGATACTGCTGGTTTGGTTTAGACCACTGCAATGAAGGAATCACAAATATTTTGGTTGTTTTTTTTTAGTTCATATAAAAGTTTTGTATGTACTGTACTATGGTCTATTAAGTGTGCGGTAGCATTATTACTTTTTTGCTAAAAATGCCGTCATCTGAGCCTTCATTAATTCCTAACCATTTTGTTGGTAGAAAGTCTTTCCTCATTGTTGATGACTGCTGACTGATCAGACTGAAGTTTGGGGTGACTGGCATTTTTTTTTTAAAGATTTATTTATTTATTGTGCATGCAAGAACTGGGGTGCAGGCCAGAAATGTGGGTGTGAGAAGATTCACTAGAGACAGAGTGGGAAACAGAACAGGCAGATTGACTGAAATACACTGCTGAGGGGAGCAGTGGGAGAGTTGAGGTCTGCTGCGCCATATGGTAGCTCCTTGGTCAGGGATCGAACTCATGCTGCAGTGGCTGTGGGTAGCTTCATAGGTTGTGTCTTAACCCCTTGCACCACCAGGGAGGCCCCTGGCAGTTTCTTAAAATAAATCATAATGAAGTTTGCCACATAGTTGACTTTTTTTTCTACTGGCTTGCAGTGCTGGTTTATAGCATACTACCCACTTTAGAACTTCTTTCAAAATTGGACTCGGTCTTCTCAAACTCTATTGCTGCTTTATCAACTAAGTTTATATTGTATTTTAAATGCTTTGTTGGAATTTCTACATGTCAACAGCATCTTCATCTGCAATAGATTCCATCTTAAGAAATTCCTTTTTTTGCTTTTCATAAGTTCCAACTTCTCACTCATTCAAGTTTTATTGTAAAAATGTAGCAATTCAGGTTCCATTTTTAGTTCTGCTTTTGCTATTTCCATCATATCTGCAGTTACTTCTTCCACTGAAGTCTTGAAGGTTGCTTAAAGTGATCTGTGAGGGTTGCAGTTAACTTCTTCCAAATTCCTTTTATTCTGACTTCTCTTGAATCACACATGTTCTTAATGACATATAGAATGGTGAATCTTTTCCAGAAGACATTTTATTTACTTTGCCCAGATTCATCAGAGGAGTCATTTTCCATAACAGCTATAGCTTTATTTATTAAATAATAAGATTTGAAAGTCAGAATTAGGGGCCTCCCTGGTGGCGCGAGGGGTTAAGCACAACACTGTGAAATTGTCCGCAGCCTCTGCAGCACAAGTTCGATCCTCAGCAGGCCAGGGAGCTACCCACATGGCGCAGCAGACCTCTCCTGTCTTGCCCACTGCCCCCTCAGCTGTGTATTTCAGTGGGTCTGCCTGTTCTGTTCCCTACTCTGTCTGTGGTGAATCTGCTCACCCCCGCATCTCTGGCCTGTGCCTAGTTTTTGTATGCATAAATAAATAAATCTTTTTAAAAAAACTCAGAATTCCTTGAACCTCAGACTGCAGAAAGGATGTTAGCAGGCATGAAAACAATGTTAATCTTACACATTTCCTTCAGACCTCTTGGGTGACTGGGTACATTATCAGTGAGCAGTAATATTTTGAAAGGAATCTATTTCTGAGCAATAGATCTTTAACAGTGGGCTTAAAATAAGCAGTAAGCCATGTTGTAAACAGATGTGCTATCATTCAGGCTTTGTTATTCCATTTATAGGGCACAGACATAGTTGATTTAGCATATTCTTAAGGGACCTACGATTTTCAAAATGGTAAATGAGCATTGGTTTGAACTTGAAGTCACCAGCTACTTTTACCCCTGCTAATAAGGTTATTTCATTCATATGGGAAAATCTGTTGCTTAGTGTAGTCACCTTCATTAATGATTTTAGCTTGATCTAGTGGATAACTTGGTACAGCTTCTGTATTAGCACTTGTTATTTCACAGTGTACTTAGATGTTACGGAGTTGACTTCTTTCCTAAAACTTCATGAATTAATTTCTGCTAACCTCAGACTGTTCTTCTGAAGCTTCCTCACCTCCTATCTGTCACAGACTTAAGGAGATTTAGGGCCTATCTCTGGATTAGGCTTTGGCTTAAGGAATTGTTGTGACTGGTTTAATCTGTCCAGACCACTAAAACTTTTCTCCGTATCAATAAGACTGTTTTACTTTCTTACCATTTGTGTGTCCACTGGAGTAGCACTTTTAATTCCCTTCAAGAGCTTTTCCTTTATTTTTGCAAATTGGCTAGCCTTTTTTGCACAAAAGATCTAGTTGTTTGTTTATTGGCTTTGATATTCCCTCCTCACTAAGCTTAAGCAATTTTAGCTTCTGATTGAAAATGAGAGGTGTTTGACTCTTTTTTCATTTGAACAATAGAGAGGTCATTATAGAGTTACTAATTGGCCTAATTTCAATATTGTGTCTCAGGGAACAGGGAGACCCAAGGAGAGAGAGCAACCAGTTGGTGGGGCAGTGAGAACACATACATTTATTAAGTTCTCCATTTTGTGTGGGTGTGGTTCATGGTGCCCAAAAACAATTACAATAGTAACAGCAAAGATTATAGATCACCATAAAATATAATGTTTTAATATATATAGTATATACTTATGTATGTATAATAAAAAATATTTAAAAAATGTAATGGTTGCCAAAACGTAACAAAGACATGAAGTAGGCACATGCACTGTAAGAAAAATCGTGCCAGATAGACTTGCTTTGTGCAGGGTTGTAATAAACTTTCAGTTCGTAAAGAAACCAGTATTTGTAAAGTACAATAAAGTGAAGTACGGGGGTCCTCCCTGGTGGCATGGGGTTAAAGACAGCGCCATCAAGCTATTGCCAGCCACTGCAGCACAAGTTTGACTCTCAGCCGACCAGGGAGCAACCCACAGGGCACAGCAGACCTCTCCTGTCTTGCCCGCTGCTCCTCTTAGCAGTGTATTTCAGTAGATCCTCCTATTCTGCTCCCCACTCTCTCTGGTGAATCCTGTCACCCCCCGTACCTCTGGCCTGTACCCCAGCTCTTGTATGCATAAATAAATAAATCTTTTATAAAAACCCAATAAAGTTAAGTACAATAACATGAAATAGGTTTTACTATCATGCCAGGTTGTACAATATCCCCTCCAAATTTTATTTCCATTTCTTTCACACCCAACACACTCAGCCAATCTTTGTCCTCGTAAACCATGTAGTATTTGGCATAAAGTTTTGTTTTTTTTTGGTGGGACCCTCGCCGGTGGCTGGGGAACAAACCGGTGCTGCAGAGGCTGCAGGCAGCCTCACAGCCCAGCGCTCAACCGCTGCGCCACCAGGGGAGGCCGGCATATAGTATTTTTATATGAGTGGCAGTGAGGCCATGGCCTTACTTTCTCTTTTTCCTTTATGTCTTTTTTTTTTTTTTTTTTTTAATGATAGATCCATGTGACCTGTGGCTGTGAGGTCGTGTAATCTATTGACTCATGTAGTCTATTGACTCAGTTTTGGTGTAGTGTTCTATAATATACAAGAATCCACCACGTCTTACTTAATTCACCCAGTGACATACCTATTTTGCCTCCTGAACTACTTCCTTAATATTTCCTAATGCTCCTGTGTGAGAGTCATTATAGGGTAAAATTGATATTCTCATCATTAGGGTTCTTGTATCATCACAAACCTAAACTTGGTGCTGTTCTACCAAGTAGTCTAATTTTTGCTTATCTGTTGTTTTAATTTATATTCCTCTAATTTACGATTGTTAAATATTTCTTGTGTTCTTGGTTCTTTGGGTGTCATCTTTGCCTGTTTTTTTATTGGGGTTTCCATTACTCTCAGTTTACAGGCATCTCTTTTATATTCTAATGCTATTACATTGTTATTTTTAGATACAGATACCTTCTTTGTCATTTATTTCTTTTCCTTTGGTGTCATTCCTTAAGTAGATGTCCTTAGTTTTGAGAAATAGTAAATTTTTTGCCTCTTTTGTGTCTTTGATTTTTTTTTCCCCTCCCCACTACTTAATAATAAAGATATTCTCTATTGCTTTTTACTAATGCCATGGTTGACCTCGTTATATTTAGTTCTTCAGTCCAGTTGGAGTTCAACTTTATATTAATGTTAGGTTGAGAATATAATTTTATATTTTATATAGAGCAAATTTTGTTAGTGTTAGTTCTGCCTTCATGATTGAGTTTCATTTGGGGAAAGCAAAATGATTATAATTTTAGCCTAAGTACAGTGATCGAGATGGTTTTATAGCAGGGCTTGACCTAAATATTTTAATATTCTTTAGCTGAAGAGGAAGCAAATGAAGAAGATGTACTGGGAGATGAAACAGAGGTGAGTTGGACAGAGTAAGGTTAGTCACTGGCCTGGCAATGTGCCACTGCCTTGTCCACATTGCTTAACAACCAATCATAAGAGTACTCAAATACTAACTCATTAGGGGAGCATAAAGGGGAAATGAAGGTTCAGAAAGACTTGTTCATTTTGGAGTTCTCATAGTCTTTGTTGATGGGTATGTGCAGTACTCTTGATTTAAGTTAATCATCTTGTTTCATTTGGTTTTAGGAAGAAGAACCAAAGCCAATAGATCTTCCTGCCAAAGAAGAAGAACCTGCTGAAAAACTGTTGACGTGTAACTATCCTTTTTTTTAATAATCTCATTACAGAATGGACAGTTCTGGGTTTTGGGGGAACTTTTAATCTCTTATACACCCCTATTGGCCTTTTTATTTCTCATTAGATTATACAATTTTTGGAAAGAGTTTACTTCATTCCAAATCCATGGTCTCAAAGAAGCAAAGTCATATCTGGGTTATATTAGATTAGAATCAGGAGACTTCAATCCCAGACAGTCTCCTAGCCTTTGTTAGTCTTTTGTAGGATTACCACATTAGATCATTTTCTGTATAGAGAATCATACCTATTGTCTGCTTATCAGGAATTTTATAAGGGTAGAGGGTGCTGAGCAGAGGTTTTTGTCTCTTAAGTAACGCTGTATTCTCCCTTCTTTATTTACAGTGGAAAAGGGGAGGATAGGATACTATAGGGAAAGTGGTTCTGATTTATTTAAACTGCCACAAGGTTGATTATAGCCACCTTTATTTGGGACATTTTTTTTTTTAAAGATTTATTTATTTATACAAGTACAGTCAGAAGCGCGGGAGAGTGAGAGAATTCACCAGAGCCAGAGTGGGGAACAGAATAGGCAGACCGACGAAATACACTGCTGAGGGGAGCATCGGGTGTGGCAGGAGAGGTCTGTGCGCCATGTATGTGGGACCCTCGCCAGTGGGGTGGCCGGGGATCGAACCAGCACTACAGAGGCTGTGGGCAGCTTCGCAGCCCAGTGCTCAACCGCTGCGCCACCAGGAGAGGCCTATTTGGAACTTTTTACACAAATATCTGACCATCTTATACTTCAGTTCTTTAAGAGCAGTTGGTTCTTTTTTTACATTCTGTTTCTCCTGGTTGTATTAGTATTTTATTATTAAAGACAACATATATACTAATAATAAATAATATATGTACTGATAAAAATGTAAAGGAGCACATAAATTGGAAATTGCGTATCCCTTGTCTCCATCCCTATATGACTTCCTGGAGTTTTTAAATATAGTCTTCAAGAATAACTTATTGCTGTATACATACAGACACATACACATTATGCCTGCTTTTGTTGTTTTTCACATTGAAGCTTTCTGTATAATGTTCTTATTTAAACGGTAATTACATTTTAGGCAAGATTTGAAATGTTTTATAAGTATTCTCACAATCCTTGTCAACCCTATGAAATAGGGATAATTATTCTAGTAAGTGAGTGATCATTCTCTTTTTAGCTTGTAACTATGGAAAATTGCAATTAGATACAGAAGTTGTAAGAATAGTACATGTATTCATGTTCAGATTTAGTAGTTACCAAATTAGAACTTATTCTTTTTTTTGACAGCTAATAGTACTCCCTTCTATGGATTAACAGTAGTTTCACCAGTCTCTTGTTGATGGACATTTAGATTATTCATAATAGCAAAAAATGCAGTGCTGTGTTTGTATGATATAAATTCCTAGCAGTGAATTTGCTTCATCACCAGCGATGTGCGTTTAATGTTTTATTAGATGTTATCAAGTATAATTGCTTTCTAAAATGAGCTATTTATTTTTTTATCATAGGAGGTTTATGTTTAGATATAGTATCTTGAGAAAATAGCTAATGGGATAGTTTTTTTTTTTTTAACAATGGGAGAAAGAAAGCTAACCCCGCCATACATTAGAGTGTGATTTTTTTTTTTTTGGGTAGATTTCTTTATTTATTTATTTATACAAGCACTGGGTACAGTCAGAAGCGCAGTAGGGTGAGAGAATTCACCAGAGCCAGAGCGGGGAGCAGAACAGGCAGAAGGACCGAAGTACACTGCTGAGGGGAGCAGCGGGCATGGCAGGAGAGGTCTGCGTGCCATGTGGGACACTCGCCCAGCGGCCGGGGATTGAACTGGCGCTTCAGAGGCTGCGGGCAGCTTTGCAACCCAGCGCTCAAGTGCTGTGCCACTGGGGAGGCCCTAATGGGAGAGTTTTTAAATAGAGATACTTTGGGGAATTCTGGGTTTAGAATGCAGATGGGTAAATGCAACGATCATTTACTTGTGTGAGTTAAAAAATAGTGGTTTGAAATTTTCAAAAAAAATTCATTCTCAGAATATGTAAAATGTGATTTTTTTTTTTTAATTTTTGTGTAGAAGAACTGGGGTATAGGCCAGATGTGTGGGAGAGTGGGGTGAGAGGATTCACCAGAGACATAGTGGGGAACGGAACAGGCGGATTTACAAAATACACTCCTAAGGGGAGTAGCGGGCGACACAGGAGAGGTCTGTTGTGTCATATGTGGGTTAGATCCCTATTCTCTTGTTTTTAGAAGGCTTTAATTCCCACACCCCCCAACCAAGTTTCAGATATTTATTAACCAGATTAAATTCCAACACAGTCTACTAACATGATTTCATGCATTTAGAGGGGAAATGTTTCCTTGTTAAGTGGAAAATTGTGAAGATGACTTCTGGAAGACCTTCATTTTAAGCTGCTTTATAATGAAATGTTTCCTTTAGAAGTCTGGACTTTCTTCAGTTTGCTGTACATTCATTGTCCAGTGAATACCGTATATTCACAGAGTAGAACTTGTATTGTCATTGGAACTGGTTTGTTCCTGAGTTCTAGGTTGTTTCTGTTCCAGCTGACATCTGGATTGAACAAAACCAGGCACATGAAATAAAGTGCTGCTCTAGCACCTCTGGCTCCAAAAGAGAGGAATCAAATTAGGGTGCTTTTCTGAGGGTCTGGCAGAAGATGGTTGTGGGAGAGGCCTTGGGCTGGGATAGAGAACAGTTGTTAGAGGAATTTAACTTTATGAATAAATTTTTAAGCAAGAAAATTGAAAGTGTGTGGGTGGTAATTTTGATTTTTTGGAGGGATAGTAGTGGTTAGACCAAAGTATATGCAGAAAGGTTCTGGGTTCCCTTAGTTGTGGAATGTTATACGTGTGACTGTGAGTAGGAGAGAGATTTCTCAGTACAGAGAAATTTCCCTTGCACCCCAGAATGTGATGTGTATTTACTTCTTAAGCTTAATTGTGTGTTAGGGAGTTGGAATAGAACGTAAGAAAGTTTCCTCTCTGCGGTTCCTTTTTTGCTGTGAGGTATGCTGCAGTGATTGTGCTTCAAGATGGGAAATAGGAGCCTGGGGTTGGAGGAGAGGACTGTTTTCCTAATGGCATTGGACTTCAAGTAAAACCTTAATAAATTTCAGTATCCCTTTCTGCCTAAATGAAAGAGGGCTGGGAAAGGGAGCATGATTGGGAAATGGGAAGAATTTAGAAATTTCTTTAAAAGTCAAGATAGGGGTCATTTATGCCCTTTGAGCATTCCAAAGGAGTCTCCTTGCTTCATCATTCCACGTTCTGAAAATAACCTGTTTGTAGTGTGATGATTTTTTTTTCCCCACCCAAGACAGTTAAATGTTGTAGGACCTAGTTATGGTCAGCAGGGGGCACCCAGTGCATATTTGTCAGTCCGGGGACCTCCAACAAAAGAATGAAGGAGAGAGTAAGTTCCTGTTTTAGAATTGCTTCCTCTGAAAATGCCATTAAACCATTACTACCTTACAGGGCATCAAATGGGAAAAGTGTCCGGGATATTGGAACAAAAGCTGCCCATGTCTCTAAATGAGGCACCTTAATGAGACTGGTTATGACCCACAGTTTTATGAGAGTTGTTTGGTGGAGGGTTAATGCCCTTCCATTTATCCCGGGTACTTCCGAACTTTGTCTCCCGCCCCTATGGTCCCCCTTCTTTTGTTTTCTCTTAAACCTTTTAACTAGTAACTTGCCATGTTTTCCTAATTCAAAATCCCTTTAACCTTTTTTGTTCTGGCCCCCTTTGGCACTTTTATTTGTTCCACTTTGACTGTTCCAGCTGAAGCTACAGGTCCCATGGGAGAATTAAAAGATTTGTAAAAGAAGGAAACCAGAAATTGTAGAGCACTCATTAATTGTTATGATGAAATTTGAGAGCTGGTATTTAAATAAGGGTTGGAGGAATAGTGATTAGTCCAGAAAAATCCTGTAAGTAAAATGGTTTCTGGTGTCCTTCAGCCTAATTATATTTAGCTAGACTTCTTTCCTTATTACTTTCTTATACCTCAGCAAAGCAGCTTAGTCTGTTACTTGAACTTTTGCCAATAGATGATAGTTCAGGGAACCAAAATTCTAATAAGCTTCATGGCTTTGTTTTTCTTCTTTTTTTTTCCTAAGGGGTGGCAAATATGGGACGGGGACGTGAGTCATGTAAATTCTTATACGGTTCTAAGGTTTTAGTTTAGAATATCAGTTTTCTGTTTTTAAAAATCTTCCTTCTTTTCTAGGGCAGCAGAGAAGAAAGTGGTAAAGATTACATCTGAATTACCACAGACTGAGGTTGGTATTCTGCTCCTTAGTAGAATAGCAGTTTCTGTATTTACTTCTCTCTTACCCTTTATTGTATGTATTACCATTTTAAACATTTTACTCATAGTAGAAAATCAGTATTGACAGATTTTTGTGTTGATAGGTTTTCCCACCAAACCTATACTTGGGGAAATATTTGGAGTGGCACAGTGGATGTCACTTTTGAAGCCCTGTATTTCGTGTGTATACTGCTGTGTTCTTAGTGATAACTTTCTTTTAGATGTCTACAAAGTAGGATCAGAGTTTGGGGCAGTTGTCGCTTAGAAGAGATGAAAAGTGAAAAGGGAAGATGTCCCTCTTAAGTTACTGTCCACTAGCTGGTGAGATTGAAATTTCTCTCGACTCTGTTTCACAGTGTCTGAAACTAGGTTCTAGTTGAGATCAATCTTTTTTTCTTGTATCTTTAAAGTGAAAACCGCATAGGACAACACTGCCTTGTTTCTAAGTGAAAGCGTACCACTAGTATTGGAACCAAGCTGTTCCTTTGATCCCTTTTCAGAGGTCAACCAAACACGGCTTTTGTCTTCTTGGCTTCATACAGAATGTGGGTTTTATTTTATTCCTTCTCTTTTGTTTTTGGGGACATGAATGTAATAATAGTCTTTTTGTGTTTGCTTTCTGGAAAGGGCTGTTGAGTTAAGCCTTCGAATGGATACAACATGATACCCTCTAGAGGATTGTCAGTATTCTCAGTTTAGATAAGATTATTCATGATATTCTAGAGATACATGTCTGTAAACAACTTTTAAAATTGAAGCAAATCAGAAGTTGAATTTTTTCTTTCCCTCCTTTTGTCTCTTCTCACTTAGAGAATGCAGAAGAGGGCTGAGCGATTCAATGTACCTGTGAGCCTGGAGAGTAAGAAAGCTGCACGGGCAGCTAGGTGAGTTTCCCCACCCTGTTGAATCTAATACAGTGCTGATATTAAGGAGGGGTGGGTTACATATAATTGTTTTTAGGTAGAATAGAGGCCTTCTGGAAAAGAAATACTCATTGGCTCTATCCATAACGTCTCTGCTGATTGGGATGTAGTAGCTATAGATGGGGTTTTATTATCAAAAGTTTTTGTAATTAGTAAATGTCAAGAACTGAATGCTATTCCCAATACTGCTAAGGCTTCCTTTTAGCTTATTCTCTGGGCTCTTGGTGAGAAAAACAGTAAACTGAACCTCTTTCATGGGGTTGTTAGAATTAGCTAATGATTGCAAGCTTAAGATCACAAGCAAGAAGTGTCATATGTACACTTGACACGGCTGCAGACAACCAGGAGTGTGAACAGCTTCCTAAAATTTAACTTGCTTTTCTCTCTATAGATTTGGGATTTCTTCAGTTCCATCAAAAGGTAAGAATACAGAGACTCTTCTGAGAAAGTTATTTTTATAGTCTTACTTTTCTGATATAACGGTTTTCATTCCCCCAAGTTAAGGTAAATTTGTTAGCGCTAGAAACCTTTAAGAGGTTATAACATTTACCATTTTGCTTAAGACTTCTTGGGCAATTTAAAGGAGGAAGTGAAGTTATGAGAGAATAGGAGAGAGTGCTATAACATTTGTTTCCCTTTTCTTGTACACCTTCAGAAAGTTTGTAGTACCTTCCTTACTTTAATTCCAGTATCTCAATATAATTATTGTGTACCTCTCCAGTTTTATACTCCCAACTGTGAGTAAAAAATGGAAAGGAGAGTATCTTTTACCTTAATGCTCCAGCTTACAGGAATTTACAAGGGAATGATTTTAGGTATGCTTGAAGAATTAGGCATAGAGTTTATTGTAACATTATTTCTAGGTGTCATGTCCAAACAACTGGATCAGTAACTGGAAACTGTATAATATATGATAGAGAATTAGTTAAATAGATATGTGCTATAGTATACAAGACCATACAGGTATTAAGAATGACATTGAAGAATACTTGTTAAAGATACTAAGTGAAAAAAACAAGTTATAAAATTACACTAGCAATATGTTCCTGTTCTAGTAATAAAAGTACATGTTTGAAAAGGAAAAAAGATTAGAAGTGTATGTGTATAGGGCTGCCCCTGGTGGCGCAGCGGTTGAGCGCTGGGTTGCGAGGCTACCCGCAGCCTCTGCAGCACCAGTTTGATCCCCACCCACTGGCGAGGGTCCCACAAAAAAAAAAAAAAAAAAAAAAAAAAAAAAAAAGGAAGAAGAAGAGGAGTATGTGTATAGATACACATGAATAGTTAACATTTATTATCTCTGGTTGGTGGAGTCTGACTTCATTGTGTTTGTCTGTGTTTTTCAAACTCCAACGAATATCTTGTAATAAAGGGTGTGTGTAACTTTTAAAAGAGCATATTTCTTTTTCTCAGAGACTGAAAATTTTAATGTAGTCTCCTAATTCAATCTAGGCTTCCTAATGACCTGCTCGTATTTCAGGTGTGTTAAGAAAACGTTCTCCAAACACTTTGTAGTGTTTTGCTGTGTTTTTTAAAAGACCAGTAGAATTCTGGCCACTGTCACTGTTTTAGAAACAAAATATTTTCCAGCTTTTAGTTGTATAGAAAGATATAATAGGAATGGCAATGGTAAACAAAAATTTAAAGATACTACATAGTGCTATTTGAAGAAAGACAAAAATTAAAATTCCAGGGCCTCTCTGGTAGGCTAGGGGTTAAGTCTCAGCCTGAGTTTGATCCCCAGCCAGGGAGCTGACTCACATGGCACAGCAGACCTCTCCTGTTTCCCCATTGCTCCCCTCAGCAGTGTATTTCCGTAGATTCACCTGTTCTGCTCCCCACTCTGTCTCTGGTGAATCCTCTCACCCGCAACACACCTCTGGCCTATATCCCAGTTCTTGTATGCATAAATCTTTAAAAAGAATAAAGCCAGGCCTCTCTGGTGGCACAAGGGGTTAAGCACCACACTATGAAGCAATCTGCAGCCCCTGCAGCATGAGTTCGATCCCCGGCCAGCCAGGGAGCAACCCACATGGCGCAGCAGATCTCTCCTGACTTGCCTGCTGCTCCCCTCAGCTGTGTACTTCGGGGGATCAATCTGCCTGTTCTGTTCCCCACTCTGTTTCTGGTGAATCCTCTCATCCCACGCATCTCTGGCCTGTAACCCAGCTCTCATATGCATAAATAAATAAATCTTTAAAAAAAAAATAAAAAGAATAAAGCCTGTGATTCATTGGGGTTTTTTTTTTTTTTTTTTTTTTTGGTTGTTGTTCATTTTGAACTCATGCTGCAGAGGCTGCGGATTGCTTCACAGTGCAATGTGCTTAACCCCTTGCGCCACCAGGGAGGCCCTAATTCATTGTTTTTAAAGCCTATAATTCATTGTTTTTAAATATTATTTGTGAGATTGTGGAAGCATTCTCACAGTCTAACTTTAGGACATATCCAGCACGCCAGAAATAAGCCCTGTACCTATTAGCAATTTTTCCCGTTCTTTCCCTCCGCCTCCTGTCTTAAGCAACTGCATTTATATATACATACGTGTATATATATGCCTTCATATAAATTAAGTCATTTGTGGTCTTTTCTAACTGGCTTCCTCTACTTAGCACAAAAGGGCTCAGCCATGTTGTAGCATGCATCAGGACTTTGTCTTTGACCATTGGATAATATTCCATTGTATACATATACCACATTTTATTTATTCATTCATCAGTTAATGGACAGTTGGAGTTGTTTTCACTTTTTTTGGCCACTATGGATAATGCTGTTGTGAACATTCATATAAAAGTTTCTGTGTGGATGTATGTTTCTCTTTCTCTTGGGTCTGTACCTAGCTGTGGAATTGCTAGCTCGTATGGTAAACCCTGCATTGGACTTCTTGAGTGACTGTCAAACTTTTCCGAAGTGGCTGCACTATTAAATGTTCCCATTTCTTATCCATGCCTTTTCTTACCATAGGATAAAGAACATTTGTCCTGTGTACTATTTCTGTTCTATATAATTTGATTTGAAGACTGTCAACTTCCTTTATGACTTTCACAAATAATAAAACTTTTTATTTGCTTCCTTAGGTCCGTCATCTGACACCAAGCCTATGGTAAGAAATCTTTTTTTATACCTTGAAAACCAGAACTTAACTCTCTACAGTTAGTTTTGAAGTTAGAGAGACCTCCTTCTCTCCAGATCAAAGGAAACTCTGAGATCGTATGACTTTGGTGACTTTTTTTTTTCAATACAGTGTTGTATATTCTGAATAAGAAGAGTTGTTTGAGTTGTTTGCGGAAAATGGCTACATCTTCTAAATCATTATAGATATTTTCCTTCCTCTCACTCCTCTTCAAAAGATAGATTTTGTTAGCTAGAGGATAATTCGTATAATTCTTTGTTTTGTGCTACTTGGGTATTAGGCGTAGTTACCCATTGGTTTTGGATAATGTGTAATTATCACAAGAAAAACTGGAATAAATTTATGGATCCTATTTGTAGATATTGGTATTTTTCAATATTACCTATTAAAAATAAAATCAGAATAAAGACTAGTAGAATAAAATGCCTCTGGACCATTGTGTCTGATTGTCATGTTTAAAAAATGTGGTGGTGGTAAAATACCTTCAGCTTTATGAAATCCTTTTCTTGTGGCTTCAATTCAGGATTTTAATGAAAGTGAAATGTTGTAGCGGAAGTTGTTAACAAAGCTTCTTAAAAAAAGGAAGGAAGAAAAAATAGTGGGGAAGTGGTAGTAGATGTCTTTTGAAGAAAGGAGAACTAGATGTTAAGAACTATTTGCATAGGGCCTCCCTGGTGATGTAAGGGGTTAAGTCTAAGAACTATGAAGCTGTGACCAACCACTGCAGCATGAGTTCGATCCCCAGCCAGGGAGCTGACCCATGTGGCACAGCAGACCTCTCCTGGTCCCCTCAGAAGTGTAGTTCAGTCAGTCTACCTGTTCTGCTCCCCACTCTGACTCTGGTGAACCCTCTCACCCCCCACACCTCTGGCCTATACCCCAGCTCTTGTACGCATTAATAAATAAAATAAATCTTTTTTGTTAAAAAGAACTATTTGCATAGACCATGTATGGGAATTAATGATTTGAAATGTAAATGATGGACTTGTTTGAAGGTGATGACTTAGACATTTGTTTGCATTTTTCAAGCAGCGTTTGGCTTACATTGATCTTGAGAACTCCTTAGACATTTTCCCTCCTTAATGGATAAAGGAGTCGAGGCTGACTGCATTCTAGCAGTGGTCTTTTAGTACTTGTTGACATGGATGGGTGCTACTTAGTTTCCTAATTTGGCACATAAATTAACTTTGATATTGTAGGTTTATTTGAATTCTATCTTTGGATCACAGTTTTTGCCTTTTGTGTTGTCTGTTTTATTTTAATATGCGGGGTTCCTCTCTTTTTTTAATAGGTTAACCTGGATAAGCTAAAGGAAAGAGCTCAAAGATTTGGTTTGAATGTGTCTTCAATCTCCAGAAAGGTAAAGTACTGTGTTTTTTTGCAAATACAGCAATGTAGGGGCTACAACACCTGGAAGTGGATTGTCCTGAGACTGTATCTGACTACTCAGCACTTCATTTCATCCAGTCATTTGAATATTGCCTCCATTGGCTATTAATTTGCATGGTAGGATTTGTTTCACAGAGATAATCATTTCTTCCCACGGATGGTTTATATTTTCTTACAGAATTCAGATGTAGGTGCATTTGCTTCAACTTCTGATACAGGCATAATGGAAATGAAATAATCAGGGGAAAACAATCCTATCTTTTTTTTCTCTCTCTCTCATTTTTTTGCATAGAAGAACTGGGGAGTAGGCCAGAGGTGCATGGAGGGGAGGGAGTGAGAATTCACCAGAGACAGAGTGGGGAGCAGAGCAGGTGTATTTACTGAAATACACTGCTGAGGGGAGCAGCAGGCGAGACAGGAGAGGTCTGATGTGCAGTGTGGGTCAGCTCCCTGGCTGGGGATCAAACTTTAGGCTGTAGCCAGTGATAGCACTGAGCCTTAACCCCTAGGCCACCAGGGAGGCCTACAATCTTAACCTTTAAGTTAGAATTACCTAGGAACAAAATTTGGAGGTTCTGTGAACAAAAGTGAGTTAAAAAAAGTTAAATCACTCTTTTAATTGCTGACTTTTTAACTTATTAAGATGGCTTTATCAGTACCATGGTATATGGGGTGATTGGTTCTACAGCCATTGCTGTGTTTGGAGTTTTGCTAGACTCATTGGAGAAAACACTGAGGATTCTCCTTTTTGCCTAGAATAGGTTGTCTCTTAATCTTTGTTGAAGTGGTGGCAGGATTCAGGTAGGACTATTTCAAGCCAGAAAGCAATCATTTAAAAAAAATCAGGGCCTCCCTGCTGGCGCAGGTGGTTGACCGCAGCATTGTGAAGCTGTCTGCAGCCTCTGCGGTGCCAGTTTGATCCCCGCCAGCTGCGGAGAAACCCACATGGCACAGCAGACCTCTCCTGCCTTGCCTGCTGCTCCCCTCAGCAGCGTCTTCCATCTGTCTGCCTGTTCTGTTCCCCGCTCTGTCTCTGGTGAATCCTCTCACCCTCCCGCGCATCTGGCTTGTACCCCAGTTCTTGTATAAATAAAATAAATCTTAAAAAAAGAATAATAATGGGCCTCCCTGGCGGCGCAGCGATTGAGCGCTGGGTTGTGAAGCTGCCCGCAGTCTCTGCAGCACCAGTTCTATTCCCGGCTGCTGGGCGAGGGTCCCACATGGCGTGCAGACCTGTTCTGCTCTCCACTCTGGCTCTGGTGAATTCTCCTACCCTCCTGTGCCTCTGACTATATCCAGCGCTTGTATAAATCAATAAATAAATAAATCTTTTAAAAAATAAAAAAAAATTTTATATCCCATTTATATTAGGAAGCATTTAGCTCTGAGGAAATCTGTTGGAAAAAACTGACCTGACAATGGTTACATTTTGGTCAGAAAAATAAAACTAAAAAGTTAACACATTGTGTCCTTATGGGCCCATATATGTTCCCTAATAACCTTGCATGCAACAGTGCTCTAATCTTCTTTCCCTTTAGATTACATTTTTGATGTTTACTGGGAATAAACATCAGTTCTCTGTGCCTAGCTTGATGCTGAGAGCACAACTGTTCAGTAGCAGTATTTGCTACTGCTGCAGGTTTACGGATAATATTTATGGGTTGAGAGATAGACAGCATATGTGAGTTTTTTTTTTTTTTTTAAGATTTATTTATTTATTTATACAACAGCTGGGGTATAGGCCAGAGGCACGGGAGGGTGAGAGGATTCACCAGAGACAGAGTGGGGAACAGAAAAGGCAGACTGACCGAAAGCACTGCCGAGGTCTGCCATGACATGTGGGAATCTCCCTAGCTGTCCAGTAATCGAACCCGTGCTGCAGAGGCTGCAGACAGCTTCACAGTGCTTAACCTTCTGCGCCACCTGGAAGGCCCCAAATTATGTGATTAATACCACGTGCACCATAATTGGGAATTGTAAACCAAAGTCATTTGTGTTTTGCTGACTGACCAAGGGGAAGTGTACCTTGAATCTGTGACCCTGGTTCTCATCTGTTGCCCGGTTTTTGTATGTGAGGGCTAGGTGTCTGATTATCTCAGCAATAACTGCACTCCTTTAGGGAATTGTATGTGTTTGCGTGTTCCGTCAAAATATACAAAATGGAATATCATCTCTCACTAATTGGTTCATATGGACATATTGAGAAAAGTTTGTCCCTCTATACCGTCGACTTCAGTTATTATAGTGTTTCTTTCCAAGAGCATCAGCCTTTTCTCATCTCTTTCCCTGGAATCTTTTTTCCACATTTGACCTGTTTTTCATTTTTAATCCATAGCAGGCTGAGTAAAACAAGAGATACATTTACTAACTTACTAACTTTGTGGCTTTAGCAAATCACTAAACTTCTGTGGTCCTCATTTAAAAAACTGAAACTTACTACCTAACACTGTGACTATGAAGAATAAATAATTGTATATTTGAAATTGTCTAATGTCGTGACACTTTGACCTTTAATAAATACTAGTTTTCCCTTTTTTCTTAGTTGTGTTCTTTTGACCAACTGATTTTATGGCTTTAAGTCAATTAACTTCTGTGTTTTAGTTGATCATTGATAAGCTCTGTTTCCATTTTAAATCTCTGAGGGGTTGTAGTCAGATAATAGTAATTGGCAGAAGTCTGATGGTATGAGGGCTGTTCTCTAATAGCATTCATTAGCACATGTTTTAGAAGAGTGCTTCTTAAATACTGTGGCAGAAGCCTAGTTTTTAAAAATTTCCTATGCATCACTGAGTAATACTTTTGTAAAATAAAATCAAAATGTCCCTGGAGGGTCTCCCTGGTGGTGCAGGGGTTAAGCACAGCACTGTGAAGCCATCCGCAGCATCTGTAATACTGGCCAGGGAGCTACCCACATGGCGCAACAGACCTCTCCTGTTTCCCATCTGCTCCCCTCAGCAGTGTATTTCCGTAGATTCTTCTGTTCTACTCCCCACTCTGTCTCTGGTGAATCTTCTCACTCCCTGCATCTCTGGCCTACACCCTAGTTCTTGTATGCATAAATAGATAAAATAAATCTTAAAAACAAAGAAAGACCCTGATTGCTTGCTGATTTCAGTAGACTCTGCTGCAGACCAATGTATATGGTAAAGAGAGAGTTTGTGAGGTGAAGCTGGCCACGGATCAGTAGTGTTAATGACTGATTTTTTTTTTTTTAACTCACAATCTGATCATATCCTCTTCATATTTTAGATTTATGGCTTGACCATATCACAGATCTGGGGGTACTAAATCTCTTCTTTTGTAGGTCGACTTTTACATTGCTGTTCATGTATTTCAGTTTTCAGCTCCATTAGTGTACTGTACACATTAGGGAGTACACAGAAACTTAAAGAAATCTGGCTTCCCTTCCCCCCTCAATCATCTGTCCCCTCTTCCCCCTGCCCAAGAAAGGCCTGTCCGTTCATGTTTCCAGCTCAAGTCTCAGTGAATGGAATCCTGTTGGTTTAGGATAATGGGAAGTGACGGGGGGAAGAATGGCCCTGGCATTTATAGACATTTTTTACACAAGAGGCTGTAAATTGTCCCCTCCAACTCTTTGGACTGTTTGAGGCTAGAATGGCATGCCTTTTCTCATACAAACCTCATGGTGACTGTGGGCTGAGAAACCTCCCACCCCCACAAACAAAACAAAACCCAGATAAATAACCTCTGCCTGGTTGGTTCTGATTGATCACAGTTAGGTTTTCTGTCTTGTGCTTAACTGGTTGTTTTTTGTTTTTATTTTGGGTGGTTTTTTTTTCTGTTCAGTTTTCCATTCCTCCCAGGAGAAGCAGTATTTGAGTCAGTCCTGTCGCTGGGCAGGACTTAGCCTTGCACACAGGAAAGTCATCTCTGAAAGGAATGATAGCTGGATAGTGGGAGTGAAGATGGAAAGTCAGCTCAGTAATACTTTATCATAGGATATCGGCTTTGGTATAAAAACTAAGTCTGTACTTAGCGTTGTAGTATCAACTGATAGAACTGATTTGAGTGGATTTGACAACTTTCAGAACATGAAACTTGATATGTTAGAAGGTTACGGGAAATTGAGCTAGATGTAAGTGTCTGAGGGGAGAAAGGGCACAGAAAACACTACCAACCCTAGGGACTAAGCAGAAAACTGGAGTATGATTTATATTCTCCCTCCACAAGAATGTGAGAGACGTGTATGTTACTGCTTTCTGATTCTTGATTGGTAGTAGGAAATATAGGCGTCTTGATTCTGTAGTGATCTTAGTACATCTTGCCTTACTTCTCTACTAGAATAATAGCAGTTTTTCCCTTCTGTGTTGTGCTGTGCCAGAATATAAAAAGGTTGAAAACAAACTGTCTCTCCATTGACCACCACCTTGTTGTTGGGGCTGGTAGCTAGAATATTTTTGGGTGGCTGCAGTGATTATTTTCGTGAACCTTTTGTGTAGTTATATATTTTTACTCACCATTGGTTGGAGAAGAATCGCTTCAGAGTGAGAGAGTTATTGGGCTTGCCTTGTTTTTAAGGAGGTTGTTACTGAAATGGGGAATAAAGAGGGCACCCATGCCTCCTTGCAATAAAATTCCATTGTGGCTAACTGATAGTGGGCTGATCTCCGTTTAATTTCTTTGAAAGACCTATTTGCGTCTATCTAGAATTTCCTTTAACCATCTGAAGTAAATGAAAGATTTCCCATTTAGCACTGGGTTTGGTATAGAGTGGTTAACCTTTGGGATGAGGAGAAAAGGAAGTTCACAGTATGGATTTCGGAGTTGGTCACTAACTTTCTTAGAGGGTCTGTAATTGGGATTTGTTGGAGACTAGATTTTTTTCCCAAAGGAAGAACTGTGGGGCCATGCTTGGGACATTGCTAACACAACCGTAAGAATCAGAAGAATCATAAGCTGTGATGAGGAGATTGGTAACATTTTTTTTTTTTAAGATTTATTTTATTTATTTATGCATACAAGAACTGGGGTCTAGGGCAGATGTTGGGGGAGGGGTTTGGGGGGAGCAGAACAGACAGATCTACTGAAATACACAGCAGAGGGGAACAGCGGGCGAGACAAGAGAGGTCTGCTGCACCATGTCGGTCAGTTCCCTGGCTGGGGATTGAACTCATGCTGTAGTGGCTGGCAATAGCTTGATAGCGCGGAGACTTTAACTTCTGTGCCACCAGGGAGGCCCTGGTAGAATATTTTTAAAAGAGGTATGGGTAGGGCCTCCCTGGTGGCGCAGCGGTTGAGCGCTGGGTTGCGAAGCTGCCCGCAGCCCCTGCAGTGCTGGTTCGATCCCCGGCTGCTCCCCGGCCACCGGAGGAGGGCCCCACATGGCGCGCAGACCTCTCCTGCCGCCCGTTGCTCCCCTCAGCAGTGTACTTCGGTCCTTCTGCCTGCTCTGCTCCCCGCTCTGGCTCTGGTGAATTCTCTCACCCTCTCGCGCTTCTGACTGTACCCAGTGCTTGTGTAAATTAAAAAAATAATAAATAAATAAATCTTAAAAAAAAAATGTCAAAACTACCACTTTAAAAAAAAAAGGTATGGGTAGATTATTTACATCCCCAAATGAGTTGGGAAAGTCACTTTCTGAGTTGGTATGAATTCTTTTTCATCTAGACATACTCAAGTAGCAGAACCTAGGCCTAGTAAACACTTTATTTTCTGTTCCCCTTTCTTTTATATGTATATATATATTTTTAAAAGATTTATTTATTTATTTTATACAAGAACCGGGGTACAGGCCAGATGCGTGGGAGGGTGAGAGGATTCACCAGAGACAGAGTGGGGAACAGAACAGGCAGACTGATGAAATACACTGCTGAGGGGAGCAGTGGGCGAGACAGGAGAGGTCTGCTGTGCCATGTGGGACCCTCCTGGCCGGC